TATGCAAAGGGATCTTGTAGTACCTTTGAGACTAACTGAAAACAAGACCTTGTAGCATACGTTTTCATAGACTTAATCTACTTCCTCAGATGCATGACCAAGGGGCACAACCAAGTTGCCGAAAGCTTATGCTACAATTTCTTTTGCTTTAGTCTCAAAGGTACTACATTTCAGGACAGTCTTTCCCAACCTGGGACCCTCCATACACGTGGGACTCTGATGCTCATTTAGTCTACCCAGCTGAACCATGATACTCATCATCCCCAGCCAACATGACTAGTGATGGGAGATGTAGCCCAGCTTATGTGAAATGCACCCAGTTGGAAAAGACTGATTCAAATCAGTCCAAATCCATCTCCAGTAGTGAAAATATTACAACACATCAGTTGACAGAGTCTTTGATAGTGCATTCCTTTTTACAAATTCTTTTTACACTCAACCCAGTCCCTTTTCCTCTTTAGCTTGTATCTAACCAGGTCTATTTTAGCAGCATTGGCATTGGGAAGAAGGTGCTAGGGCTGGAGAAATGCTGACTTCTAGTGCTGGGTTGCAGCAGTATGTCTACAGTAAGCAGTGCAATAAAGCTTGATATGGGAAAGAACAAGATTCTACTCTAACCAATCCAAATGCTTGTAATTACAGAGCCATTGCACTAATTTTCCATGCAAGCAAAGACATGCTAAAATTCTGCAGCAAAAACTCCTACTATATATGGAGTGTGAAATCCCAGAGGTGAAAGCTGTATTCAGGAAAGGAAGAGGCACTAGGGATCACATTGCAAACATATGATGGATAATGGTGCGCATCAGGGAATTCCAGAAGAAAATCTGCATGTGCTTTATTGACTACAGAAAAGCCTTTGATTGCATAGATCACAAAAAGCTATGGCATGTTCTTAGAGGCAGGGGTGTGCCATAGCATCTGACTCAGGACAAGAGGCTGCAGTTAGAACTGAATACGGAAAAACAGAATGATTCCCAACTGGTGAAGGGGTCAGGCAAGGCTGCATACTATATATTTATTCAACCTGTATGCAGAAAATATCATACACAAAGTAGGCTCAGACTCAGAGGCTGGAGGAGTGAAGATCAGAGGAAAAATACACAGATGACATAATACTAGCAGAAACAAACAAAGACTTAGAGCAATTATTGAAGGTCAAGGAAGAAAGTGCCAAGGTAGTCTTAATGCTGAACACTAAAAAAACAAAAATAATGGCCATGGAAGATCTAAAAGCATTCATCCTAGATAACAAGAAAATTGAAATATTCAAAGAGTACCCATAACTTGGATCAAATATTGATCAGAATGGAGACTGCAGTCAAGAAATCAGAAGACAAGAATTGGAAAGGGCAGCTTTGAAAGAACTGGACAATATGATAAAGTGTAAAGATATATCTCTGGACACTAAAGTCCAAGCCATTGTATTCCTCATCACCATGTACAGATGTGAGAGCTGGGCAGTGAAGAAAGCCGAAAGAAAGAAAATAACCTCATTTGAGAATAGATGTGGTGCTGGAGAAGAGTGCTGAGGATACTGTGGATGGCTAAGACAACAACCAAAGAAGACAAACAGAACAAATCAAGCCTGTCTCTGGAAGCCAAGATGACTAAACTGAGGCTGTTGTACTTTAGCCACATCTTGAGGAAAAATTAACCATTGGAAAAGACAATGATGCAGAAAAGGTAGAAGGCAGTAGAAGGTGGGGAAGACCATATGTCAGATGGTTAAACTCAGTCAGGGAAGCCATGGGCCTGAGTCTGCAGGACCTAAGCAGAGTAGATTGGGACAGGAGATCTTGGAGATCTCTCATCCATAGGGTTGCTATGGGTCAAGGTTGACTTGAGGACAATTAACAACAGTAATGCTTGCCTACAACAGAACCCTTCCAGAATCCCTTACTGAGCATGCAAGAACAGCAAAACAGAGGGAAAAAAGGGAAGAGCACAGAAGCCTTCCATACTAGCTCCCCCCAGCATGTTGAAAAAGCCTGGATTGTTTGACCACCAAGATGGAAATCATAAGAAAAGTGGAGGCTGGTGAAACAAAAAGTCACCATGGATACATTTCAAAAGGAACATTCAAGTGGTCACTAGAAAGTTCAAAATGCTTTTGTTTATTGATGTAAGGCTTACTTGACCTGGTTGTTTCATTGCACATGTACATTATGCTAGTTTTGAATTAAAAATGTACCCAAACATGTTGAACTGCTCTTTTCTATTATGGTGTAGAAACCTGTCCCTATTCTTTCCATACTATTTCCATCCCTGGTGCAAAATGTTCTGTTCAAGAAGTAATGTCCAGGATTACATCTCCTTTGTTATCTGAAGCATACATGTACATTAATTTATTGGTAGATTTTTATCCACACTTTTCTACCACTCAGGACAGGGACTTTGTGTCCTTCCTGCCTGTAATAATAAAATAAGGTCTTCGTCGGCCTCCCTCATGGCTCCAAGACTGTGTAAATATTCAAGAAAAGATAAAATCCAGTTAAACATATTAGCTGGTTGCCCCTAGACTCTGGAACGCTCTTCCTAGGAAGGCTAGGGGGCCTCCTCAGTGTCCATCCATCAATAGGTAAATACTTTTTTCATTGCTACAGGCTTGTGAAAACCAGAGCTTTTTTTTTGTTTTGTTTTTATGAGTGCACTTTACAGGTTTAATTGTACTGGGTTTTTTCAACTGCTTTTAGACATTGCAATTGTATATTTTAAATTATTTTTAAGTGTTCCTAATACAGTAGTTTAATTCTATTTTAATACTGATCTTTGTCATTTCATTTCTCTTTGACTGTATTGTATTTGTTTTAATGTATAATCCACCCTGAGTCTCATGATCTTTTCACACTACAGAATTATAACACTAGAGGAAGGGTGATGATGATGATTCCACTTTAACTGTCATGTTTCCATCCTAATGATTCCTGGGACTGGCAGTTTAGGAAGAGGCCCTAGTGCATCCCCAAACTACAAACCCCATAGGATGTTGGCATGACAATTAAAGTAGACTGATAGTACTATAATTTCATTGTGTGAATGGGCCTCCTATTTGGGGGGAAAGACAAACATTAAATAAAGATGGCAATGATGATAACAACAACAATTGTTATTGCTATTGAAATTTAGCATGCCTGCTATGGGGACCTAAGGACTGTGTTTTTGTTGTTAACTGCCTTGGTGTCGATCTTGACCTATGGCGACCCTCTGGATGAGACTTCTTCAGGCCCCCCTGTCCTCTCTTGCTCTGCCCAACTCCTGGAAACTCGTATTCATAGTCTCTTTAATAAAGTCCATCTATCTAGCATGTGGCCTTCCTCTCTTTCTACTTCCCTCCACCTTTCCTAACATTATTGTCTTTTCCAGTGATTCATGCCTTCTCATGATGGGTTCAAAGTACGATAGTCTAAGTCTTGTGATCTTGGCTTCTAGGAATATCTCGGGCTCGATCTGTTCTAGGACCCATTTGTTTGTCCTTTTGGCTGTCCTTGGAATCCTCAGCACCCTTCTCCAGCCCCACATTATCTCAAATAGGTTGATCTTCCTCCTATCTTCTTACTTGACTGTCCAGCTCTCACATCCATACAAGGTAATAGGGAATACAATGGCTTGTATGATTCTGATTTTTCTGCTGAGTTGTATATCTTTGCCTTTTAGGATCTTTTCTAGTTCTTTCATAGCCACCCTCCCCATTCCAATCAATGTTTAATCCCAAATATGAGAAGTCTTTTACTATTTCTATTTTGTCATTGTCTAGTCTGAATGTGTGTAAGTTCTCTGTGGTCATTATTTTTGTTTTCTTTATGTTCAACAGTAAGCCTGCCTTTGCACTTTCTTCTTTGATCTTCCTTAGTAGGTGTTCCAGGTTTGTGAGGTTTTCTGCTAGTATTATGGTGTCGTCAGCATATCTGATATTTCTTCCTCCTATTTTCATTCCTCCCTCTTCCATGCTTTCCTTACAATATGTTCTGCATATAAGTTGAAAAGGTAAGGTGATAGGATGCAGCCTTGTCTGACATACCTCAGAATTTTAGTTTACTTAGGTCTGTAGCCTGCAGCCTGTTACTTTCTTGGTGGTAGTTTTCAAAGTAGTAGCCATGTTAGTTTCTTGCAGCATAAA